CCCCAGACCCGACCCCCTACCCCCAAATATAATCCACTCTGCAACCCTCATTGCATACTCCTACGATAAAAGTAATGCCCTAAAATAGAATACTTTTAGACTATTCTCTCCCCCATAGACTTCAATGCCGTAAACATATTTCATCCAGTTTTTCTCAGTATTGGGGTGGGGGTAAGACTGAGAAAAACTGGAGGGTCAGTTTTAAGTCTGTCTGACTCAATGGCACATAACAACGTATTAGACTCCATCAGTCCTAAAAGGTGCTGTGTGTTTAATCTGGCCATAAAAAGTGAGATGACTTGCCTACCCTTAAGTCCCCTTCTGCCAGCTCCCTGCCTGGAACTGCTCCCGTGGGGGACCTGCCCTTCAAGCCAGGCTCAAGCTGCTCCCAGGGCCTGCACCATAGATTTGCCGCCGCGGGCAAAGTGAAATGTAGCTCTATCCCTGTTGTGACCTTGAGATGAGTGGAATCTGGGAGGAGCCGGTTGGTTCCCATAGCAAAACTCATGTTCGCTATTCATTCATTTATTCTCATCGCATCCTAGGGAGCAGCACGGGGCAGCTGCTTGCCGATTCAGTGTTTCTGACTGAATGAATGACTCTTGCTTTGCAATTCCTCTCACTCCTATCTGTCTGGAAAATGCAAAATCAGCTCTGTAAATGGCCAAGTCACCTCCATAAAGACCTTGAGGTTTCCTAGGGCAGACCTTAATGTGTGCCCAAACAGCAGGAGGCAAGGTTAGGGCCTTGCTCGCCAAGGCATGCTCAGATGACCCACTTAGGTTGCATTCCAAAGCCCTTTTCATCCATGCAGTGGACCAAGACCTCAAGGACCAGGCTCAGTCTTTGGCTTTCCATTCATAGGGGCTTGGAAGGGGCGCAGGACAAATATTGATAAGCTCCGAGAGGGAAAGGTGCTGAGTACCCACTGCTTCTTCTTGGAAGGAGGATAATTTGTAAAGCAAACCCAGAGCAGAAAAGCTTGGTGTATTCTGGGAGAAGCAAGCTGTCATGGGATTCTGGGTCCCCATTCCTAGAAATACGGGTTACTGGAACTGGGGAGCAGGGTGGTTGAGTTTATCAGGGCTCCATTCTGCCCCTGCACGTCCCCCTGAACCACTCTGGCCTGCAGCTTTTATTCCAAGGACAATGAAGGCAGCTGGTTCCGCTCCCTGTTTGTGCACAAGGTGGATCCTCGGAAGGATGCCCACTCCACCTTGCTGTCCAAGAAGGAGACCAGCAACCTGTATAAGATTCAGTGTGAGTGACTGTCGCGCTGCTGGCTCTGTCCTGCGGGGCTCTTTAGGGAGCTTGGGAGGCTCCAGGAGGGAGACTGGAGGCTTTAGGGACACTCCCTGGCCCTGTGGGCTCTCCTCCTCCATTGCAGACATAAGGCATACACAGCCCTGGCTTCACCCACCGCTTTCTATCCTCTGTTGCAGTTCACAACGTGAAACCCGAGTGTCTGGATGCCTACAACAGCCTGACGTGAGCGCCCTCCGCCACTGCCCTCCCCAGCCCCTCTGCACCCACAGCCCCTCTGCACACTCCCTACCCCAGTCTACTTGCAGAAACCAGGGGATGTAGATTTCAGAGCTGGAAGACCTTGGGGATGTCTTGTCCAGACTCTGGGTCTTAGAGATGGAGACCCAGGCTTTATCCTAGGGGCCCTGCTAGATCGTGTACTTCACGTCCCCTCTCTCTGCCCCTCCCCAGGGAAGCCATGCTACCCAAGTTGCACCTGGATAAAGACTACCCTTGCTCGCTCGTGGGCAACTGGAACACGTGGTACGGAGAGCAGGACCAGGCAGGTAGGGATCACCTTCCCTCCCCAGCTGCTTCTGTGCAGCTCAGGCCTCCGCATGCTCACCACTCCCATCCACTGCAGCACTTGAGGGTCTTTTTTTATATTTTATTTTATTATTTTGTGGGTGTCTACCGTCAAATTGGATCTGACTGGTACAGGAGGAGATTACCCCTCCGTCTCCAGCAGAGCATCTGGTGGATTTGAACTGTGTGCCTTCAGGATTGCAGTACAGCTTCTTGCCACTAGGCCACCAGAGCTCCCAAACCTTATGTCTTCACTTTCCTGCTTAAACATCCAGCATGGCTCCCCACTGCCCTTGCTGTGGCCCAGAAGCTCCAGGGGGTCCTTTCCTGCTGAGCCTCTGGCCTCAGCTCCCCATTCCCTGTGAGCTCAATGTACTACCTCATCCCAAATTTGCTTTTCATTTCTCAGATCAGTTTCACTGTCTTAATTCCACATCATTGTTTGTATTTTACCTGCACATCACTTTACCCGAGACATTCTTTCTTACCTATTTCACCTTGCTCTCACCTCAACTCACCTTTTGTTCAGCCTAGATACCTCTAAGCTTGCCCTGATCCTTTCTACCCAGGCTGCCTTCCCAGCCCCCAGCGCTTGCGTCTCTTCTTAGCCCTGGTGATGTACCATTTTCTCGGCCTGTGTGCTTGTCTGTCTCCCCGCAGAGGTGTTGAGTTCCAGGTGACCAGACCCCCTGCCTGTTAGCCTTCATCACTGAGACCCACTTCCCCAAAAATGTTTGTGGAGTAAATAGGAACCATTGTTTGAGCTCGTTCCTTACAACTTCTCACAGGTAGGGATCTCTGGTGGCCTAGTGGCAAGAAGCTGCACTGCAATCCCAAAGGTACATGGTTCAAATCCACCAGATGCTCTGCTGGAGAAGGGGCAATCTCCTCCTGTACCAGTCAGATCCGATTTGACGGTACACACATACACACACACACACACACACACACACACTCACTGATAAAATAAATTAAAGAAAACAAAAAAACAAACACAACACAACTTCTCACAGGTGTGCCCTGTCACACCCCAAGGTGCACAGCTGTGAACAGTTGCTAGGACTCTCATTGTTGGCTCAACCACTTAAGGAAGCATTGGCATTTAGACATGTGCTGTCCAAGGTAGCACCTGCTAACTGCTTGCATTTACTTAAATTTGTTTAATATCTGGTGTCCTAGTGTAAGGCATTGCACTGCTAGCCCAAAGATAGATGGTTCAAATCTACCTGCTGCCCTTTGGGAGAAAGACAATCTCCTCCTGTGCTTTTTACAGCCTCTGAAAACCCTCTGGAGGGTCAGCTATGAATTGATGACTCGAAGGCACAGAACAACAACATACTATATGCCATTGAGTCATCACTGACTCTGAAGCTAACCTTCCAGTGGGTTTTCAGAGATTGTAAATTGCCTGGAAGGAGATTATTAATTAAAGTTCAATACAATTAAAAGCCAAATACATTTAAAGTGCTCACCAATGGACATGAATGTCTAGTGGCTACTGTCTCGGAGAGTGCTGGATGGTATTTTGCATGCACAGAGAACTGACAGAGGGCCCTCAAGCTTCCTTTGCACACTGCCAGCAACAGGGAACTCACTACCTTAGAAGCCAGCTTATATTTTCACTGTCAGAAAAACAACCTGCGGATGTCCTTATTGTTCTTCCTCTTGCCATCAAGAACAAAACATGCTTGGACTCATGCCCTTCCCAGGATAGCCAGCTGCTAAAGTCCTTTGTCCCCTTCCCACCTAGGGGCTTTATCTTATAACAGTATCAGACACTGGTGTGTTCTGAGCTGCAGGTTGGCTAATTTGGAGAAGCAGGTTGCCAGGCCTTTCTTCTTAGTCTCTATTAGTCTAGAAGCGCCATTAGGACTTTTCCACCATTTCAAATACCCTGCTAGTGTGTGAAATACTCGTAGAGAAATTCCAGCATCATAGCAGCGTGCAAGCTACCACAGTATCACACACTGCAGGTGATGGGACATGCAGGTAGAAAGACATGCTTCCAAGCCTTCATTCTGTTTCAGTAATGATTTAGGCTCATCAACATGTTGTTGTTGTTATGTGCCATCGAGTCACTTGTGACTCATAGCAAGCGACCCTATGTACAACAGCCCTAAACCCTCTGCCAATCGCATTGCCTCTGACATACCCATCCCGATTACCCCAGTCACTGAATCAATCCACCTCATAGAGGGTCTTCCCCTCTTGTGCCATCCCTCCACCCTACCCAGCATGATGTCCCTCTCCAAGGACCTGTCCCTCCTTACAACATGTCCAAACTATGTCAGACGAAGCCTCAGAATCCCTGCCTCCAAGGAGCAGCCTGGTTTAACCCTCTCCAGGGTGAATCTGTTTGTTTTCTTGGCAGTCCATGGTGTATTCATCAACATTGGGTTTAAAAAAAATAAATCACTCTGTCTTTAGCTTTCCCATTTTAGGCATGACTTCCTGTGTTCCAGCTAGAATACTCCTTGGAGTCTCTTAAGTGATTTCTGCTTGTGAAATGAATTTTGAAGGGTGGAATTGCATAACTTGAAAGCATATCCTGCTTCTCCTCCCACTCCAACTTTTAATCGTAGTTTAAGTGAAAGTGTACAGAGCAAATTGGTTTCCCATCCAACAATTCACACACATTCTGTTTCATGGCTTTGATTCTAATCCCCACATTATAACCACTGTCCTCCCCAATTCCTCCTTGTGTTTCCCGTTTCTGTCCTTGTTTCCTGAGCTCCATCCCTGGCAAATGTCCTTTGGATCTTGTATGGTTGATTGTTCTAAAAAGTACATTTTCCCCTAGTGTTGTTTTTGTTGTTGTTATTAAGTGGCATTGAATCGAGTACGACTCATAGCGACCTTATGAACAAAAGATCTGAACCCTGCTGTATCCTGTGCCATCCTCACAGGAGCCCATTGCAGTAGTCACTGCATCAGTTCACCTGGTTGAGGGTCTTCCTCTCCTTTGCTGATCCTCGACTGTTCCCAGCATTGTGTCCTTCAAGGAAGAGCACCTCCTAGCAACATGCCCAAAGTATGAGAGGCAAAGCCTCATCGTTCTTGCCTCCAAAGAGCACTCTGGCTGCACCCTCTCTAAGACATACCTGTTTGTTCTTTTGGCCATCCATGGGGATGTTCAGTGCTCTTCTCCAACACAGCCTCATAGACATCAATTCTTCTGTCATCCTTATTCACTGTCCAGCTCTCAGATGCACATAGCAAGTGATCAAAAAGACTATGGCCCGAATCAGACAAACCTTAGTCCTCAAACTGACATCATAACTCAGTAATTTGGAGTGGTTCCTAACTGCAGATTTTCCCAGTATAATGCAAAGTCTCCTTATTTCCTGACTGCTAGTCCTATGGGTGTTAATTGTGGATCCAAGCAAGGTCAATTTGTTAACAGTTTCAATCTTTTCTGCATCAATAATGATGTTGCATACCAGTCCAGTAGTAAGAATCTGTTTCTTGCCATTGAGATGCAATCCATACTGAAGGCTGCATTCTGCAATCTTCTGCAACAAGTACTTCAAGTCCTTGTCACTTTCAGCAAAAAAAGTTGTGGGATCTGCATAACGCAAGTTATTGATGAGTTTCCCTCCAATCCTAATGCCATATTCTGCTTCATAGAGTCCAGCTTCTTGAATAACATCCTCAGCATTGAACATCAATGATCGAAAACCAGGTGTATTATGGGATGATGTTAAGGAAGAAAGTAAAAGGTCATCCATTACAAAAACAGAGGAGAAAGAAAACATCCATTACAAAAACAGAGGAGAAAGAAAAAAATCAAAATGAATGTCAGAAGCGACTCTAACAATTGCACTGAAATTAAATGGTTTTGTATATTAAAAAAAATTGCACTGAAATGTCAAGAAGCTAAAACAAGGAAAACATGCTGAAGTAAAGGAGCTGAACAGAAGACTTAAAGGCAGCTTGGGAGGAGAAAGGAAAGTATAATGGCATGTAAAGAGAGCTGGAATTGGAGAATAAAAAGGGAAGGACTTGCTCTGCATTGCTCAAACTGAGAGAACTGAAAAACAAATTTAAGACGAGAGTCACAATATTAAAAGATGCTATGGGGGCAGTATGTTGAATGACTCAGGAAGTATCAAAAGAAAATGGGGAGTGTTGTGTATTGTGAGTTCTCTTTGTTTATTCTGTTCTGAAATTAAAGTATGCAAAATAAAGAAGATTACATTTAAAAAAAGAAGAAGATGGAAGAAATACACAGAATCACTGTACAAGAAGGAACTGATTGACACTGAAAAATTTCAGGAAGTACCATACGAACAGGAGCCAATGGTAATGAAGGAGGAAGTGGGAGCTGCATTGAAGGCATTGGCAAAAAATAAAGCCATAGAAATCAGTGTAATACCAATTGACTTGTTTCAGTTAACTGATGCAGCCTTGGATGCGCTCACCAGACTATGCCAGGAAATTTAGACACAGCTGTTAGGCCAACAGATTGGAAGAGGTCCATATTTGGTCCTGTTCCCAAAAAAGTAATCCAGCTGAATGTGGAAACTGTCACACAACATCATTAATATCACATGCAAGCGAAACACTGCTGAAGATCTTTAAAAAATGGCTAGCACAGTACATAGATAGGGAACTGCCTGAAGTTCAAGTAGGATTTAGAAGGGGCTGTGGCACCAGGAACATCATCCTGATGTCAGATAAATCCTGACTGAAAGTAAAGAATACCAGAAGAATGTCTGTTTGTGCTCTATTGACTATGCAGAGGCATTTGACTGGACCGTAACAAGTTGTGGCTGACATAGAGAAGAACAGCAGTCCCAGAGCACTTAATTGTGCTCATGTGAACCTATACCTAGACCCAGAGGCCGTTGTGTGAGCAGAGCAGGAAAACACTGCATGGTTTAAAATTCAGAAGAGAGTGTGTCAAGGTTTTTATTCTCTTTCCAGACCTATTTAATCTGTATGCTGAGCAAATTATTCAGGAAACTTCTATATGCTCCCTAGTGTTACTGACCACTTAATGGGTTTTTCTGCTGCTTGACTCTAAGTTAAGTCCTGGGGGTTATTTCAATTCCAGGATTGATGGGTGACTAAAGGCCAGAATCTCAGGGGTTTTACTAGTTTGTCAAACCAAAAATGGTCTTTTTTAAGATTTTCAGTTGTTTTCTATGATTTCCACCTCTTCTATCAGAGACCCTTTTAGAATGATAGCCGGGCACCATCTAGTTCTTCCGGTCTCATGACTGACTATGGAGATTGACATTCATGTCTGCTAGTCATTTGGGCTCATAGTCCTTGCTTTTCCTTACTCATCTTTGCTCCAGTTGGGGAGAGAGTACTTTCACCTTAGATGGCCATGTGCATAGCCTACACTTTGTGTGTCTCAAAAGATCTTCATTAGAATCAGTGAGAACAGACCCTCAGTAATTGTAACCTAGGAGCTGTGCTCGGAAATCTGCTTTGTAATGATTTTGTAAGAACCATTAGAACTGTCTTCTATAGGGCCCGTTAGAGTCAACCCTAGTGGCAAAATGGTTAAGCTCTTGGCTGCTAAACAGAATGTTTGTGGTTTGAGCCCACTAGTTGTTTTGTGAAAAGAAAAGACCTAGTGATCTATTTCTATAATGATTTCAGGATTAGAAACTTAGGAGACAGCGCCTTTTTGTCCCTAGAGTTGCTGTGAGTTTGAAAACTATGACATTCAACAACAACAACAATAACTAATCATTAGAAAATGATTTTCTTCTCAAGTCTCTGCTGCCTTCCCTCCCCTATAACTTTACCTGATGGTCTAACATGAATCTGGTTCCCATTGGTCAGCATTTGTGATTTTGGGAGACTCTAATTATATAAGACTATTTTTAAAAATTCTTTTATATTGATTTGCTTACAAAGTTCATAGAGCTTGCATGTCACAATATCCTTCATTCACATTGTGCTTCATACAATCATTCTGATTCATTATATTTTATAATCAACATTGAACTAGGCCCGCCACTACCCTTGTTTTCCAGATGCCCACAGGATCCTTCCCCTTTCCTTTACCCACCCACCCCATCCATTATATTGTGCCACCCTATGATTTCCTCCCACTCATCTTCACCCCTCTCTGCTCCTATTTCCCCTGGATCCTCATACATGTCTTACTAGTTATTCTTTCTATTTCCATAATTATGGTCTCATACACATACAAGATTTTTGCTATTTACTTTTTAAAAAATTTTTTATTTTATTATTTTTGTGTGCGTGTACCGTCAAATCAGATCTCACTGGTACAGGAGGAGATTGCCCCTCCTTCCCCGGCAGAGCATCTGGTGGATTCAAACCGTGAGCCTCTGGGATTGTAGTTGCAGCTTCTTGCCACTAGGCCACCAGAGCTCCCCCTGCTATTTACTTTTGAGATGAGCTTTTAGAGCTGTAGGATCAGGCCATTTTGCAGACGGGAAAATGAAGGCACACAGATGGAGAAGAAAGGCATATGGGGCATGCTGGAGACTGGAAGCAAGAATTTGTGCTTGCTTTGCAAACTGCTGGCTAGCCAAGTGCCTCCAGCTCCAGCCTGCCCAGTCAGCTCTTTTTCTTTTCTTTATTTTATTTTATTTTATTATTTTTTGTGTGTGTGTGTACCGTCAAATCAGATCTGACTGGTACAGGAGGAGATTATCCCTCCTTCCTCGGCAGAGCATCTGGTGGATTTGAACCGTGCGCCTCTGGGATTGCAGTGCAGCTTCTTGCCACTAAGCCACCAGAGCTCCCCTCCAGTCAGCTCTTTGAAGACCTTTCTCTGCCAGGCCTGGTCACACTCTTAGGATGACAAAACGGTTTGTCTTCCTCTGCAGGGAACCAGTTTTCTTTCTTGGGGGCAGTGGTGGCTCAGTGTTAGGATTTATATGCTTTCCATGCAGGAGACTTGGGTTCAATTTTAGCCAGTGCACCTGTCTACCAGCAGAGGTGTGTAGGCTGCTATATGGCCAAACTGGTTTCAGCAGAACTTCAACACTGAGACAGCCTAGGAAGAGAGGCTTGACGAGCTACTTCTGAACACCAGCCAATGAAAACTCGATAGATCACATGGTCTCTAATGTGACCAGTCGTGGGTGTGGCATGGATCACACAGCTTTTTTGGATACGTGTGATATTTTAAAAATAATAATGCAAACCATGTAAAGAATTTTCAGTGAAAAGTAAGTCTTCCTCCCACCCACTGGCCTAGACCTCTGTTCTCTGGTCAGAAGCACCCAATGTCACACTCTAGAAGTCACAACATGAGACAGTACATAGCGAGTGTCCCTGGGCACATCCTTGTCTACCCTTTAAACAAGGGGGCAGCCTATGGTGCATGCTTTTCTGCTCCCTGTGTTTTGTTTTGAATTCACTGCCCTGAGAGTATTCTGTATCAGCTCATCACACTTCCTCGTTTTCTCCAGCCTTTAATGCTTGCCGCCTTCTGCTTTATTTTGTACAGAGGAGTAGCTAAGAGTCGGAGTCGACTCGATGGCACCTAACAACATAACGTGTCTGCTGCTCCTCCTGGAGAAATCACATTCACCCCTCTTATTCAAGGAAAGTTAGGAGGGTGTTCTAGCTGGTTTCTAGGTGAGGACTTCAAGGTTAAAGGCTGAAGCTGGTTCGCTGGGCTTGGGTCTGAGTCTCCTGTGTCTAGCACTGGCCTTTATCATGACAGGAAATTCCTTGGTATAGCTGGAGACCTCCGCCTTCTTACAAACACATTTAGCCAGTGTCAGGGAGCAGGGGGAGATTTCAGCAGCCCCCTGACCTGCATCTCACCACCCCACCCCGCCCCAACAGTGCATCTATGGCGGTTCTCCGGCGGCTACCCAGCCCTCATGGACTGCATGAACAAGCTCAAAACCAACAAGGTATGTTGGCATCCACTCGACAGACATCTCTGGTGGTTGCTTCGGGCCTCATCCTGTACTGGGAGTGGTCCCCATCACCCCTCGGGTTACACTGTGAAGAGCGGGGAGTGCTTGCTGACTGTTGTCCCCCACAGGAATACCTGGAGTTCCGGAAAGAACGGAGCCAGATGCTGCAATCCCGGAGGAACCAGATGCTCCTTGAGTTCAGCTTCTGGAATGAACCACAGCCCCGTGCAGGCCCCAACATCTATGAGCTGAGGACGTACAAGCTCAAGGTACCTTTCTCCTGACAACCTTGTTTGCCCCCAACTTTCCCTGCGGTTGCGCAGCTTTGCCCGTACCCTAAGGTGGTCCCTAGACACCACCTAGGCTGGGCCCTGAGGGCTCGGAACAGAGCTGTGTACGCACCTTTGTGTGCATCCGTGCGTGAGCCAGAGCCTGAGCAGGGCTGAGCAGCTCCTGGAAGCTCTGATGCCAGGACAGAGGCCACGGTGGGACTCATTTCCATCTCTGTGTGTCTCTTTCAGCCAGGAACCATGATCGAGTGGGGGAACAACTGGTGAGTGCTGGGTGTTGGGGACCCTGTCCATCCTGCCTTTTCCAGGGCCGTATCACAGGGATCTAACATCCCCTGTCCTGGATCTGAATGGTCCAAAGGCGTCCCACTCTTCCTGGGAGATCATGCAAGCTGTTCTTGCCCCGCCATCACTCCACTTCCTGAATCATCTCTGCCCTGTGGGTCCCCTCTCTCCATAAGCAGCTGAGACATCAGCCTGCATGTACCACCTTGATCCCTGGGCCTCCCGCGGAGTCCTGGCCTCTGTCCAAGCACTCTTGTGCTATCCGCAGGGCCCGAGCCATCAAGTATCGGCAAGAGAACCAGGAAGCAGTGGGTGGCTTCTTCTCGCAGATAGGAGAGCTCTACGTGGTGCACCATCTCTGGGGTAAGCTGGTGACCAGACAGGGTCCCGTCTTGGTCCCTGTTGTGTTGTTGATGCTGTGTGGACAGTGGGGTTACACTGGTGCTCTCACAGCGCTGACATCCAAGCAAAGGAGAGGCTGCCTCTGACGTGAACCGACAGATCATTTCAGATTATGACAAATGCCAAGTTGAAAATACACCAGGAGATTGGATGAAGAAATTTAAAAATTGAGTACTTAGCTTGGGGTTGGATAGACAAGGGTGGCCTACAAGGGTGGCCTCTCTGAGGAGGTCAGATGTAAGAAGCTACAGGATGACATACTCTGGGCCAGTCCTTGGAGAAAGATTGCACGCTGGGAAAGGTAGAGGGTCCAGAAAGAGAGGAAGACCCTCAACAAGATTCGTTAATGCAGCAATTGTAACAATCAATGGACTCAAACATACCAGGGGTGCTGGGGATGGAGCAGGGCAGGGCAGGGTTCAGATCTCTTGTTTACAGGGTCACTATTGGTTGCAGTCAACTCGATGGCATTTGACCACAGCAAAGGGTGCCAGGCAGCAGTTGGTGAATTGCATTCTGAGGGGAGGGGCATTCGGAGGAGCAGGAAGGAGATTGATGTGAAAAGGGGAGGAGAGAAGGATGAGGCCGACAGAGCTGAATCTTACAGACCTCAAGGAAGAATCAGGATGTTTTTCTAAATTCAACCGAAGTCTGCTGCCGCATTTGAAGCAGCAGCAACGTGATCTGATTTATATTCGAACGTGATTTCTCTGGCTGCCATATGGAGACGAGTTTATAGGGGAGGAAGAGAGGAGACCCAGGAGACAGTAAGATTAGTCCAGGCGAGAGAGGGTAGTGACAGTGAGCATGCCAGGAGGCCACAGATCGGTCCATCTGGAGGTAATTCCCATACCCCTTACGGATGAATTTGCTCTGTGGGGGGAGGCAGGATGGGAGACGAAGATTACAGAACTTCCAGGCCCCTGCTTGAGCTGCCGAGCAAATGCTGCTGTCGTATCCTGAGACAGGGAATCCAAGGGAAGAGTAGATTGGAGGGTCGGGACTGTAATTGGCCTGAGGAAATGTTCTGTTTGAGAAGCTGACACTTCCAAATGGAGCTGTCATGCGGGTGTTGGATATACGAGTCCAGAGACCTCGAGAGAGGTCAGGCTAGAATTATAAATTTGGGAGTTGTCAGCATACGTACTAGCTGAGTAAAGACTATCAAAGGAGATAGGGTTTGCTAACAGCCCAGGGCATCAGGGAAAGAGGAGAGATGAGGGCAAATTTATGGCATTGGCAGGGAGGAGGGCCTGAGCTGGGTATGAGAATCAGATCCTCAGTGGCGGGATAAACGAGTGTATGTGTCTCTCACAGCCTATAAAGACCTACAGTCTCGGGAGGAGACTCGAAATGCTGCGTGGAGAAAGCAGGGCTGGGATGAGAATGTCTACTACACAGGTGAGTAGAGGGCCCTAGCAGGAGCCCTATCTGAGAAGGGATCCCTACCACATGAAGGCCTAGCCTTACTCGATTACCTCCAGAGGGGGACAAAGAGTTAGTGAGCTTCTTTCCCGGTGGCAACATCCTGTGTGATCCAGGCAATCCTGGGTAGGTGGTGTTGGGGATGGTAAGGCACCCAGGTGGTCCCTGCCTCAGAGATTTGGAGTAGCTGAGTGACACTGTGTCTTTGGACATGGCTCTTCAGTGCCCTGAGGCTGCAAGATCCCCCCAGAGTGCTTCCCTCAGAGCTATAGGGAGAATTCCTCCAGCTAAAAGTGGTGAGGAGTTGTGCTGCCAACTCAGAGGCACTCGGTTCAAATCCACCAGCTGCTCTGCGGGAGAAAGAAAGATAGGCAATTTCCTCCCGAGCAATTTACACCTCCTGGCAATCTGCTGGCGAGTCTGCTGTGAGTTGGTTCCAGCTCAACAGCGCATAGCAAGGAACTAGGAAAAGTGTCTGGCCCAGAAGCCCTCCACAAATGGGGCCTTGTTTTGTTGTTTGTTTTGGCTTTTTTTTTTTCCTGAAGGAGTTTATCATTTTGTTAATAAACCTGGGAACTGTCTGAACTCAGTAGGTGCTGGGTCCTTGCCTTGGGTTAAGGGCTCTGGTGGGTTGATTGGTTGAGGATACAGAAATGAAGGAGTACTTGTCCTTGATATTGAGGCATTCACACATGCCACCTGCTGTCTCCAATGATGGTATCATATGAGCAATGGACATAGGAGTCATGGGGAATGTGTTTGCTGGAGGCAGTGCCTCCGTATGGCACTGCCTCCAGCAAACACACTCCCCATGACTCCTATGTCCATTGCTCATATGATACCAGACTCTCAGGCCCTCCTAGACCTACTGACTCAGAAACTGCACTTGAATGTGAGCCTTGTGACCTTGGACATGGCTGATGATGTGTATGCACCTTCAACTTGAAAATACTCCAAGCAGGAAGAAGAGTCTGACTTTCTGGGTGACCCTCTCTGGGCTACACTTTCCCCATCTGTTAAATGGGACTGT